AACTTTATGAATCATATGTTTTATATAGAATATAAACATTTGTATACATTTTTTACTTATATGTTTGTCTTTTACACATAGTTCCAGGTCATGAAGGATGCCTGGTGTTTGGTCAAATCAAAGGCAAGTCATGTGTCTTTATGCAAGGAAGGTTCCATCTCTACGAGGGTTACTCATTTGTGTAAGGTGAGCTCAAAAAATGGTTTGATGTCTCTGTTTCAGGTATTACCAACTTCATCTTGCCTTTCGACAGGCTTCTTTGATGCATCCATTTATAATACTTACAAACTCAGTGGCTTCTGTGCTTGAAGTAAAAGCTATTTCAAAAACCCAGTTTTTGGCATCAATGTCTCATAAAGTATTGTAGCGTGTGCTTCAAGCAGTGGCCTTGGTGTCTCTTAGCATCACCTCAAGGACAAGTGAACTTGTTGTAAACAGCTCCTATTTGTAAAAACCTCCTGTATGGGCCATTAATTTTATCTGTCGCAATCAGGAGCCACACCGCATGAATACAGAGGCTGAATGCTGAGAATGCAGGTGCGGAGGAGAAATGAACTGCTCGCTGCTGCTGTCATTCTCATTTCAAAGCAGTTCATTGGCATTGTTCAGTTTGCACTTATACTCCGCTGTGACCGTGAACCTTACTTTCAGGTGAGAAAATCATTTGTTTTCCTTTAAAAATGGAACTGCATGCATTAACATATTAACTTGTGATATTAATTGTGAATACATTTTCAAATCGGTTGAAAGTCTTAGTTAATTTACAAGTTTTCCATGTTAATTTATCCCAGAGTTCAACTAAACAGCATGAATGATGTGAGCTTTCTCTCCATCAAAGTCTGTCCAGGGGAATAATTTATGTGTTGCACATGGGGCTGGAGAGCCACTTTTTACTAAATTACAGAGAGAATCTACAACCTCTTGCCCTGGGGTGGGACTATCACTGTAATTGCAGCCCTGACAACATGACACAATGCATTACAATCAGTTGTCATGGCCACCGTGCCCTCTACAGCCAGCCAAGAGCTTTTCACTCTTAATGCGCTGCTAGGGCATTAAATCCATCAGCACCCTGTATTAGCAAACTCCAGTCTTTCAAAACACTATTTTGTATTTAATGTCTTAATGGCTGTGGCACATAAAACACACTGACACTGCATCCCAATTTGCATGGTACTCGTTTTAAATCGGATGTTGGTGATTCTCAGATCTTATCAGGCAAATGTAAATAGTTTTTTTTTATATTTTCACCCATGACATTAGCATTGCTAGCGCAACGTACTAACATTTGTCTGCCAGGTACATATTTTCATTCACTTTTTGCATAAAAAAGACAAGGATTGTGTGGATGAACTTGCCAAAGCATTTTTTAAACTGTGAATCTGAAAGTAAATGTATTGAAAGGTTTGAATTTAGCTTGATGCTAATAATAATATGCATTTTAGTATTGTTTATATGTTTATTCATATTTTAATTTAGCTATAATTTCATAATTCATATTATCAGTTTTAATTGTAGTTTTAGTTCAGTCTTTAGCAATTTTGTTATGTGCTTTTGTCATTTAAATTTTTTTAGATTTATTTATTGCTAGTAATTTTAGTACATAATTATTGTAGTTAGTTGCCAAGAAAACATTTCTAATTTTCATTTAAGTTGACGTTTTTTTTCCCATCTACTATTTATATTTATGTCAGCTTTATTTCAATTGCTGAGAAGGATTTTAATAATTTTGGTTTTAGTTACCTATAACAACACTGATGCTAATGCAAGATATGCAGATTAAATTTTATGACTCATGTGATTTATTTATTGCTAGTAATTTTAGTACATAATTATTGTAGTTAGTTGCCAAGAAAACATTTCTAATTTTCATTTAAGTTGACGGGTTTTTTTTCCATCTACTATTTATATTTATGTCAGCTTTATTTCAATTGCTGAGAAGGATTTTAATAATTTTGGTTTTAGTTACCTATAACAACACTGATGCTAATGCAAGATATGCAGATTAAATTTTATGACTCATGTGTTGTCTTCCTCTAATGTATAAATTAGTTGTAAAGAGCTCAATTAGTGCATAATATAAGTATGCAAATTGGAACATAAATTAAACGAGTGAGGGTTTTTTGGGGGGGCTGGGGTTATAGAAATTTTGAAGCTCCTCATATAATAAGCAGTAGCTTGACCAATCTGGTTATTAAATCCTTTGTCAAACTGTGACAGCTGGTTTGTAAATGCACCTTCAGTCCACTGTTCATTTCCCTTTAGCTGAATATCTATGAGTCACTGCGCAAATCTGTGCCAACTCATTGTGCCCTAAAAGTGCACCCCACTCATTTCATTTACGGTTTAGGATTTAAACATGCTCTCACGTTTGCCCTTGGTAACACAAACAGTTATTATGGCTTGTTTAAGTGATCTCTTTGTTATGGAGAGATGTGCAGTGGAGGGTAATTGGGCAGTCGAGCTTGTTTAGCCCTTCACTGACCTCTGTTTCTCTGCAGCAAGTAAAACAGCTTTATGGTATTCAGATGCATTTAGAGGGCTTGTTTAAACTGAAAAGAGGGCATTTACACAAAATGCATTTTTGCATTCCACTCTGCTGCTTTTGCATTGTTTTTCTATGTAAACATGGGTTAGCTAGACAGGAATATTTTAACGGCACGTGAACCGATCATCTCTTCCTCTTTACTAGTTATAGCGTGAAATAATCATGAATGAACATCAGAAGGTATCTTGTTTCAGCCGCGGAAAGACATACATGCTGCTCACATATTATTGTAGCCCAGATTGTGCTGATTAGTGTTATCAGACTTGAGCAACTGAAAAAAGCACAAATGTCAGGGCATGTCAAAACTTCTCCTGGCCCCCAAAACACCCTTAGACCCCAGATTGTTAACGTAAAAAAATGGTGTATTGATGTCTTTTTGCGGTTGAAACAAGATACCTTCTGATGGTCATTCATGATTATTTCATGCTTTAAAGACCATCGACGTTAATCTACTCTCCTGTCTGCTTTGTCATACATTGTATATTCCTACAGGTTGTTAATGCCCTTTAAGCTGTCTGATATTTCCTAAATCTTCTCATCAGTAAATGTAACCAGCATTTTCAAATATCTTACTATAATGTTGTTGCAGTGTTCATTTTAGACTGATGTTTTATACACTGTAACTGATTATAATTTCCTTAACAGAAGCTTTAAGATATGATTCAATACAAAACTGAAATATATGCCAATTCATACAGTGCCAAGACATACAAGATTTTCTTAAAGACATATTCTCATTACTCCATAATAGTGCACATTAATCAAGCTGCCGGTGACGGGTAATCAACGGACCATCTATAGACCTATAATGCAGCACCTATAGACCAATTCTCTCAGGAGAGTTAAAGACTCAAAAATGAAGTGATCTGATCTCTGACAGTTTACAATCCACAAAGAAGTCAGCTTTGATTTAGAGCAGCGGTCACCAAACTCTGTCCTGGAAGGCCGGTATCCTGCAGAGTTTAGCTCTAACTTGCCTCAACACACCTGCCTGGAGGTTTCAAGTATGCCTAGTTAGACCTTGATTAGCTGGTTCAGGTGTGTTTGATTAGGGTTGGAACTAAACTCTGCAGGACACCGGCCCGCCAGGACCGAGTTTGGTGACCCCTGATTTAGAGGGTACCAAATTGGGGCGTATTTCCTGAGAATGCCGGTCCACCTCGTTGACCCTTCTGTGTATTGCTGTAATGGCCGTGTTGCTTGTGGCAGCCCCGCACGTCCACCCTGGTTCATCAGCTGGAGAGCAGGCTGACAGACTGTGACATCCCTATTGAGCTGTGCTATACTGAGCCCGCAAGTTCATTATTCTTCTCCTGCTTGCACTGACACCTCCCTTAATGGCTCCCTGCTTTACAATCCTATATTTATCCCATTTAGAATCACTAAAGCTTATTTAATACTAGCCTAAAACTGTGAGGCACTGTGGAATACCATTGCACATTTAGGCTTGTGGATATTGTCATATTCACACAGTCTTCTGAAATGAAATGAGGCCCCTTTCCAATGCAATGTAAATGTAAAAAAATAAAAATAATAATTTGATTACAAACAAATGTATAAACATATAAATAAATGTTGGTCCAGGGCCGTTTAAGACCATTTTGGCACCCTAAGTGAGATCCCTGTTGGCATTAAATAAATAAATTAAATTAAATTAATAAATTAATTTATAAAACATAAACATATATTTATATATAATTGTCTTTTTGTAAAATTTTGAATCTGGCAGATCTTCATTTTATTAAATGAACGAAATCAAGATTTTAAAAAATATTTCCAGTATGTTAATGAACAATGACACAATTATTGAAAATATTTCTGGACAATTAAAAAAAAAATATATATATATATAGCAAAACTTTGGTCATGGAAATCATAACATGGGTTATTTTTCTGAAGCTGTCATTCATTTAAAACTTATGTAATTTAAATGTACACTCAATTTTTGTATTTCTAATCAGGGTCTTCCTGATAACATTATGCAAATTATATGTGAAAATACAGTCTCATTATGTTAATGTTAAAGGGACAGTTTACCCAAAAATGAAAATTCTGTCATAATTTACTCACTCTGAAGATATTTGGAAGAATGTCGATAACCAAACAGTTGCTACTGACTTTCATAGTAATTTTTTTCCATACTATGGAAGTCAATGGCTACCGTAAATTTTTTGGTTAACAACATTCAAAATATCTTCTTTTGTCCTCAGCAGAAAAAAGAAACTCATACGTGTTTGGAAGAACTTGAGAATGAGTAAATGATGACAATATTCAATTTTGGGTGAACTTTCCTTTTAACAAGGGTGTTGGGCCACTCTTTGGTGCCCTCTCCAGATGGTGGTGCCCCAGGCAACCGCCTAGTTCGCTTGTGCCTAGAAAGGGTCCTGTGTGGGTCTCCTGTTTTCTTATATTTGTTTGCTTTATTTCTGAAATTTCGTAATCCAAACTTGAGAAGATGCAAAAAACGCACATACCACATGCTATTTTTACATCTCTGACTTCCATATATTCCATTAAATACGTCTGAACCTGAGAGGCAATGGCTCATTAATTTAATAAGTTAAAAGTGAAAATGATATAGTTGACCGTTTAGTCAGAGAGGTTCCCTGCTGTGAGTAACAGCTTGTATTTTCTGTGGGAATTTTTGCAGGTCACGTTCCCCGTGCGGATCTTCAAGCTGATGGGTGTGGAGACCATTACTGTAACAAATGCCTCTGGAGGTCTTTGTCAGGATTTCAAAGTGGGAGACATCATGGTCATTAAGGACCATATTAACTTGCCAGGGTTTGCTGGGCAGCACACACTGTGCGGACCCAATGATGAACGGTACGCAGATAAGGGAGAGAAAAAGACAGAATAAAGTGTAAAAGAGAGGGAGGAGGTATTGGATATTATTTTACAGAACTGTTTTCCATTTAATGGAAAAGATGGTGCGTTTTCTTTCATCTCTTCCTCAGATTTGGGATCCGGTTTCCTTGCATGTCTGATGCTTACAGCAAAGACCTGAGGAAACTAGTTTTGGACATCACTGCTGAGCTGGGCTACTCTAATTTTGTGCATGAGTGGGTCTACTGTATGGTTAGTGGACCCAAATTTGAGACCATCGCTGAGGCACGCATGCTGCACATTTTGGGAAGCGACTCTGTTGGTATGGACTATCACAATACACAAGGGAAAAAAAGAAAATTTTGTCTTTTGTATCTGTCTTATCTAAAACTAAAGTTTTACTAAACATTAGACAATGTGTCTCGACAATTAACTGAAATAAATAAGTTAAAAGTTAGGAACATAAATAGTAATAAAAATCACTGAAACTTAGTTCCTCATTGCTGCATCATTGTCCTCTCTCTGAGGAGTTTGAGTGGTTATTTTGTGTATAGTGCCTGTCCTTTAATCTGTCTTTCATGAAAATTATAACTGGTTCATAATATTAGCAGAGGGGACCTGCCATGTTAACTAATGGAGATTAGGCCCACCCAAAGGGCCAAAGTGGCCCACTTTAATCAATGTGATTAGTTTAATCAGTGATCTGAATAACTCTCTTGACCATATGATTGGCATAAACTGTACTCACCGCTGGTCCTCTGATGAGCTGAATGATGTCTTAGATAATTGGGCTCCGATTACCAAACGGCAGCACCGTGGGGTATGTGCTAAGTAGGCTTCCCTGGCTAGACCGGTTAGTTCCTAGTTCCTGTGTGAGTTCTTCTTCCTGTGTATCCAACAAGACCCCAATAGTCCTC